GCGCCTGGCCGGGCGCACGATTGCGCTTCGACCAAAAGGGCGCCACTGCACCTTTTCGCCTAGCTAGTTTTGGCTAACATGTTCGTTAGCGCCGTGCTTGTATTTGGCAGTTTTCAAGCCGAGGTACGCTAGGCTCGACAGCGAAGACGGTGCTCTGCCTGCTGTCGTTGCTGACCATGATATGCTGGCCAGTATTCATGTTTATCTTCTGAGGGATTTCTGCCTCAGCACACTCGTTTCTAAAGTTGGCAAAGCCAACGGTTGCTGGGCCCTCATGCGCTCAATCGCTGCCGTACGGCTCTGTTTAAGATTCCATTGTGGCCAAGATCAGCCGCTTGATCCAAGAGGTGTCGCGGGCCGGTGGAAAGGGAAGTGCGCTCGTCAGAAAAGCTGCAGTTGACCATGATCTTGCGACGTTCCCGTCGGTTTTGCGAGAGCCAGCATCGCCAAAAGACTCTTGGGCTGAAGTGCTGTCAGAGCCACATAGCGTCAAAAGTTGCCACAGTATAGCCTATTGTTGGAGTTCAGCTTGTGCAGTGCGGCTGCCAGAAGTCTTGGCCTTGCGGCCTTGCGCTGTGCGACATGCCGAACATGTCAGATGGCTTCCACGGCTGAAATTCCACATGCAGTTGTCCTGTCCGGACCGCGGTTCTACCAGCCACACATTACGGCACTGTATGGTGGCTACAAGAGGAGCGGTTGCTGAAGCTAGCCCTTACCTCAGCGACTTTCGCCAAGTGGCTGCTGCCGCAGGACTGAAGATCTTTTCCAAAAGGCGACGTATCAGAAAGACCCTCTACAAAGGGAGGGCATTCAAGACCAGATGAGCTATCTTTATTTCTCACTGGCAGATGGAAGGCCACACAGCTGCAAGGAGTTTGAGAAACATACTACCTGCAACGTCTGGAACTGCCTTTCGGTCCTTTTGGCATCCTTGCCATCATCAGTTGCCTGTAATGTTTTGTTTTTGGTTGTCATCCTCGCACCCCTGTGCCCAAACATGAGGTGGTGCGTGGGCACGAAGCTAGGTGCTACCATTGCCGAGCTACCCGAAGCCGGGTGCAGCTGCCCCCCAGTGCTGATCTACCAGGCGACAGCTAAGCTGTGAAGAAAAGGGCTTCGACAAAGTAGCTAGGACCACAACCCGTGCCAGCAGATCGGATTCGGTGTATGCTCTCGCTGCAGCTGCAACTGCAACATTGGGAGGAATCACAACCCTGAGCGGTAGGACAAACCTGCGCTCATGACTTGTGACTTCCTGACCCTGTGAGGCTGCGGGCACCGACCCGGAGCAGGCATTTCCTAACCTTCGCGGCTATGTTTCCTGGGCAGCCAACCTGACTGGAAAACCAGGTGGCCAGACCAGCTCGGACTACATCATGCTTTTTCATCTCACCTTTCTTCTTGACTGCTATGCTATTTATTCCATGCCGTTCGTGTGTGGTGTCCAACATGTCATCGCGCCATCACACATGCACACACATGTATGTATATACATATCAATTCGCATACCTGCATATTACATATATACATATATACTTACTTATCTATCTATCTATCTATCTATCTCTCCATCTATCCGAAATCTATCCATCTATCCATCTGTCCATCTGTCCATCTATCTATCTATCTATCCATCCATCTATCCATCTATCCATCAATCCACCTATCCATCTATCTATCTATCTATATTCATAGTTCTGCCCGTGCATGTGAAAAGGTATACATATGTACGCACACGCACACACACACACGTGCAAACATACATGTGTATGCACATGTATGTATGTATGTATGTATGTATGTATGTATGTATGTATGTATGTATGTATGGATGTATGGGTGTATGGATGTATGGATGTATGGATGTATGGATGTACGGATGCATGGATGTATGGATGTATGGATGTATGGATGCAGGGATGTAGGGATGTGGGGATGTAGGTAGGTAGGTACATAGGTAGGTAGGTAGGTAGGTAGGTAGGTAGGTAGGTAGGTAGGTAAGTAGGTGGCAGTCTGTACATGCAGTGTCGCGTCACGCTGGGGTGGGCTGGGCTAATGGCCAGCATGCGACACAAACCCTTTTAGGATGGAGTTTGCCATGGTTGTGTGGTAGTTAACACTTTGTGTGATCGTAACAAGTTTAGGTGCGCAAGGGCGGTAGGGTGGGAAATGCAGCAGTCAACACCTCCAGCTTTGGCTGCAACGGATCGGAAACCGATCTGAGTGTGATTTTTTGTTGCAGGGAGGGTAGCGCACTTGCATGTCGACCGAGCTGCTCTTGTGGCACTCTCCTCGGCCGGAGCCCCTCACCTGTGGCGTTGGTCGGTGCTAGACGCGCCATTGCTGAAAGTCGCATATTGCAGCTTCCTTCAGGCTTCACCGTTCGGCTTCATGACTCTTGATCCGCCAGAAGACCAGTGGAACTCTCTGAATACCTTGACCAAGGTGGCCGATTGGGCAGGCTTCCCAGGGGAGGCTGGAGATAAGGCCACACCTCGAGGCTCCTTCTTCCACCTTCTCGGGGCGGATGGTTCCGAGGCTCCACGTGTAATAGCCATGCTGGCAGTCCCAGAGTTCGACAAGCTGCTGACGCAATGGCGCATCTCTATGGCCGGTGGTGGTGCTCCGGTCACCGTGGCACCTACGGCTGTTCAGCTCGGTCAGGGCGCATTGTTTGGAAGGACATGCAGAGTAGTAACGGGGATGTTGAAATCCCCACCACAGGCACCGATTCCATCGGTACCAGCGCCCAGCTCGACCAACTGCGACAAGCGCAAAGTCAAGCTAAGCTCCGTCATCAATCAGATTGACGACTTTGAGATTGAAATCCTTGATGAGAACACCATTCAGGCTGCTTACGCCAGATACTCGACGCGCTTCGGTGCATTCCCTCATCCAGATCACGAGCTCAGCACTGAACAGCTGAGCACTTTGCACTCCTTGTTCACCTCAGGCCGTGCCCCTTACACTGACATGGCCGTTTGGGGACCATACCACAAGCGACTCCAGAAGAAAATCCGACTGAAGGGGGTGAAGTTAAACGCGCAAGGCGAGATCATTCCCGTGGAGATGAATGGCCCTGCGGATTTTGAAAGCTGGAGAGAAAGCTACGCCGTTTTCAAGACTGGAGCTATCATGTTCGATCAGATCAGTCCTGCCCGATTGGAGGCCTATGAACATCGCATTCGGTCATACCACGAGAGGTATGGACGGGCGTGTTGGGCACTCATATATCAAGCTGATGTGCGTGCCCGCTTGGAACAGACTGAGAGACTGCGGCGAATTGGGGCTGATGAGCTTGAGGCGGCGACGAAGGCCGGTGGCACGCACAGCTTCGAGAAGAGAAAGCCATGGGAATGGGTTTGGGACAAACTTGTCCACGACCAGGCGTTCTGGCATCAGGAGCTGGAGGAGCCCGCTCTTCTTATCCTGTCCAAGTCGGCCAAGATCCCTCAGCTCGTGGACGATGATGCTGCTGTGGAGGGGCGCGCTTCGCTACATGGAGGCCCCGGCACAGGACAGGGGTTGAAGCGCAAGCGCCCTGACGGGCAGAGGCAACACATGGTGGGTGACGATGGGCTCCTGACCCACAACAGGAAGGGAGTCGAGTTGTGCAGGGGGTTCCAGAAAGGAACCTGCAAGGAAAGGGACAAGCACGGTTTCTGCATCAAGACCGGGCGTACCCGTCATCAGTGCGCCAAGTGCCTATCTGAGGATCACGGGGCAGATGTCTGCCCTAAGGACGCTCCTAGCCAGCCACGTGTCTTCAAGCCGAAGGGTGGCGGGCGAAAGGGAGGCAAGAGCAAAGCTTGACAGGGGACGGATTGTCCCCCTGAATGCATGCCGCTGAATTCGCAAGAGACCTTTGTGACTCGGGATCCCGCCACTCGAGAGCAAGTCCCGATGAGTTCGGCCTCACATTCTCAGATGCCTGCTGGAGGTTCGCTTCCGGATCGACGTCCCCGCTTTCTTCACATGTTCAGCGGACCCGCCGGGAGAACCGACGGCCTCAAGGCGATGCTTGCGGGTATGGACTGCGAGTGCGAGGAGTGTGACATCGTCAACGGGGACCGCTATGACTTAGCCGACGACGCCGTGTACAATCAGTTGAAAGCCAAGGTTGAAGGCGGCCACTTCGACGGAGGGGTGTTGGGACCCCCTTGTCACACCTTTTCCAACGCCCGCAGGGAGGATGATGGTGGGCCGCGACCTTTGCGAAGACCTGGCCCTAAGCTCATTTACGGCAAATTGGACCTCAGGCCCGAAGAGAAGGAGGATGTGAGGCTAGGCACCTTGTTGGCGCTCCGCGCGTTGGAAATCTTCAAGCTCCTCAGCGCGCAAGGTCGTCCCGTGCTTTTAGAGCAACCGCGGTGGAGACAGGACACCACCTCCGTGAGCATGTTTCTCCTGCCTGAGTTTAAGCAAGTGCTTGCGGGGGAGGGCGTTAAGATGGTGCACATCGTGCAGTGTGCCTACGGTGCACCGTCGGAGAAGCCCACTACTCTTCTACATGCCAACATGGATTTCGAGGATTCATGCGTATCTTGCAAGCATGCCAAGACATGGTGGCGATTACCGAGCACGGGTGCTTGGCTACGAGCTCCACATCCGCCTCTAAGTGGCAAGGAGGCGTTCATACCGGCATCTGAATGGAGGCCGCATCTGCTCCTTGACGGGAGATCCAGGAGCCGCAAGTTTGGTAGGGCCCCGTATCTGACTAAGGGTGCTGCTGCATACCCAGGTGGCCTCAACAAGTACTTTGCCAACAAGCTTATCACTGCGCACGGCAAGCATCCCCCTGCGGACAATGCTATGAGCTTGGTGGGCCGCTGGCGCAATACTCTCGTCCGGCAGAAGGCCATAAACGTTGGTCGAAACGATGCGCCTGGGCCAGAACCTCACACCACTGTCGAGCAGAAGCTCAACTGGCGCACCCCACTGCGCGGGTGTCCCGAACCTACAGACTCCGAGAAAGTAGAGCAGGCTTCACTGGGTGGCATGCGGCACCCCAGACATGCCAGCAAAAGGATTGTGGGATATAGCGCTGCGGGACAGTCCATCTTCGCCGAGGTGCTCAGCTACATCGGTGAACGGCCGCATGTTTTGCAGGCCTGCATGAACGCTATAGGTTCTGAGGCCCCCGATGCGGGCCCTGACAAGCAAACTGTAGCCGAGGTCAAATGCATCATGGATCGAGTATTGGGACTTCGCCGTAAGGACGGCGCGCGCAGCGAGCTCACGAGCATCGATGTGCAGCTGCTAACTCGGTGGGCGGAGATGGCTGGTGACCCTGACGGCGTCACTATCGGTGAGTGGCTTACTCATGGAGCGCCGGCCGGCATAGAGCTTGACATCCCCGACTGTGGCGTGTTCCCAGCCTCTGATAATGCCGCGCCAGAGTTGGACGCGGGCCACATGCTTTTCAGAGACCCTTCAGGACACGTCAATTACACTTCGGTTGAGGGGGTGCCAGAAGCTCAACCAGAAGTACAAAGACTTATCGAGACGGGGTACGTCAAGGTCTTCGACAACCTCCGTGCTTGCGAGGACTGGCTGGGCGGCAAGCCGCTCACTTCTAAGCTGGCCATGGTGACTAAAACCAGGACTGATGGTAGTGTGAAGCGCCGTTTGATTTTGGATTGCAGGGAGTCCAAAGCAAATCAATTAGCGGCAAAAGGAGGGCGAATCCTGCTTCCGCGTCCCACAGACATGATCGATGATGCTCTCTACCTGCTTCACTGCCATCAGGCAGAGCCCGAAATAGGCCTTGAAGCGCTTGTGCTTGATTTCAAGGATTGGTTTTATGCTGTACCGCTGCACCACGACGAAATGAAGTACTTCGTGACAGCCTACCGGGAGACGCCCGCTGGTGAACTGAAGTACCTCGTGTTTCTCACGCAGACTCAGGGTAGCAAGAATGCACCTCTGGTCTGTGGTCGGGTAGCTGCATTGGTGGGACGCTTGACGCAGTCGCTGTTCAACGATCGGGACGCCAGGTTGCAAATCTACGTGGACGACCCGTGTTTCCTTGTCACCGGCAGCTCGCGTCAGCGTGACCTACGCATGGCAGTCTTGATATGTGTTTGGTCCGCGCTAGGCCTGCCACTCGCCTTCAAGAAGGCGTCCCGGGGCATCGAGTTCGGATGGATCGGCTTTCAGTACACCATTCGCGCTGGCAAGGATGGCCAAGTTCGAGTCACAGGCAAGCCCGAACTCATGCAGGAGATCCGCAGCATGACGATGGAACACACTCGCATCAACGTGCTGGGTGTGCGGGACCTCCAAAAGTATGTGGGCAAGGCCAATTACATTGCCGGCGTGGTAGATACTTGGAGGCCATTCATCACGGATCTCTGGGCCGTTATACATAGCTCTGGCGACTCCCAAGCTCCTCCAAACTGCGTGTGGACCAAACAGTGGCGACACGTCTCGGAGTGGTTCTTGGCCTTCTTCGAGGGTGAGTCGGGCTCCCTCGTCAGGGAGTACAGAGTCAGCGCTTATTTCCAGAAGTGTGTCAAAGTACGCATCGTTACTGACGCATCGCCGTGGGGTATCGGCGGCTTCTTGATCCTCGGCAACGAGCCCGTCTTCTACTTCGCATCCCCGCTGGATCAGCATGACACCTTGCTCGCCGAAGCGGCATTGGGCTCGCCCAAAGGCCAACAGGTCTGGGAAGCACTAGCCATACTGGTGGCTTTGCGAGTCTGGCGCAAATATTGGAGCAGGACGTCTGTGGAACTGCACGTCAGTTCGGACAGTGTCACTGCCCTCACGCTGCTGCTCAAACTTCGGGCTAAACCCCGCGCAGTTGGACTGGGCATCGTTGCCAGGGAGATTGCGCTCGATTTCAGTCGATCCAGCTATCGACCCAGCTGGTATGAACACATACCGGGCGTGGCGAACACGGTCGCCGACATCCTCAGCCGTCGCTATCAGCCCGGCAAGCCGTTCGAGCTCCCAGGATTGCTGAGACACGCTCGCGAAGTCACGGCTCCAATCCGTGACGATTCATTCTTTCTTGTGAGTCGGCCGCTGCGCAAAGCGGACTAGGTGGGGCCTCCTTTTGTCCTCCGGCTCCGGTTTCACTCTAGTGCTTCGCATACACCCTCCCACTACGGCTTCCGTGTTGGAAGAAAATCGGGATGCCTCTCCGGGCCGTGCGTCCGGTACGCTCCAAGCCTCAACACGTTGCGCATTTCGTTGTATGAGGATGGCAATACATGTTTGAACATGTTTCCTGCGAGCTGCATGTGTGAGTGACGAGTGAGCTGCATGTGTAGTGCGTCGGGCCGCATGCGTGAAAGCTGTTGTCATGTTGCTGCTTGTGTACGTGTGCTTGTGCATGCTTGCTTGCTCCTGAGGTGGCTTGAGTTCTTTCTGATTGCTTGCGCGCTGCCTGCCAGGTTCATCTTTAACGCCTGTGTGCAGCATGAAGCGGCGCAAGCCTGCTCATCTTCCGCGGGTTTGCCTTTCCAGGGTTGCTGAGCTTGCATGTGCTAGCCATGGAGAGGGCCCTGAGGAGCTGACCGACCGCCCCGGTGCTCAGGATGGACAAGAGCCGGAGACTCATGGTCGGCAGAAGTGGGCAAAACGTCATGATGCGCCGGTAATTAATTACAGTAGGGGGGCATCCAAGTGGAAGGCTGGGCATGTTTTCACAGAGGATGAAAAGCGCTCAGCTCTGAACGCCTACGAGAGGGATTTCGTAGCTGCTTCTGCTAGAGGCCCCGCCTGCTCTGTTATTCGCACCTGGGAATCCATGCACCTATGCTGGTTCGGCCCGGGTACTCCACCCTGGCCGTTGACGCCGGCAAAAATCCGTGCTGTCGGCTCATGAAGGCTAGAGGCTACAGATCTTTCGGTAACTACGCCGCGAAGGCTAAGATGATGCACATCCAGCTCACTGGGGACTGGCCCGCCATTCTTGACCAGGAAATCCGCATGGCCAAGCGGAGTGTCGGACGTGGTCTCGGACCAAGCAGACAATCGCAGCCCATCCAAGTCGCGAAGTTGGCCACGCTGCCGGAAGAACTTCTAGCGGATGACCAGGCCAAGGTATCACGGGGACCTATTGGCTCCTACAACATGATCGTTCTGAGCGTCTACTTCATGTTGCGTGAGATTGAGGCTAGCCTTTCATTGTTGTCAAACGTGGAGGTTGACGAAGCTGCCCTTGTGGTCAGGTGGTTACTTCCCAGCAGCAAGTGTGACCCGCTGGCACTCAACACAACGCGCGAGTGGGGCTGCACGTGCAAGGCTAACGGCTGCTGGCTATGCCCTTATCATGCTGCGCATAGGCAACGACGCATGCTGGTGGCGCGCTTCGCGGACTCGGACGGGTCTCTTCCGCCCGGTCTCCCGTTCTTCCCTTCTGAGCAGGGGAGCACAGTGGAGCGAGAGGCCGTCGTGGAGACCTACAAGGCGTGGCACAGAGCAGCTGGGATCACGGTCGTGGACGGCGATGGCGCAGAACTTCTTGGCGGTCACTCCGCACGAACCGGAGGCGCAGTCCTGCTCGCGAAAGAGGGAGTACACCTGTATCAGATTGAGTTACTGGCCAGATGGAGAAGCCCAATGCTGCTTCATTATGCTCGCACTGCCCCCCTAACCACGCTGACTCAGGACTACGTGAAGGCCAAGGTGGACAAAGACACGGATGGTAGACTGGATCAGCTGGCTGCTAGCATTGAGGAGCTCAGACTCGCGGAGCCGCCGAAGATCGAGCAGTGGCAGCGGGCACAGGTCATCGCTGAGGGCTTTCAGGGACCCTTGAAGGCCATGGTTGCGCAAGAAATTGCGAGCCTCAAAGAGACCCTGCTTTCGGCGCCTTCGCACTACATTCAGAACACCGATACCAAGGCTTGGCACAAGTCCCGCATCGATGGAGCTTTGCATCACCACAGGCTGTGGAAGACGGCCTGCGGTTGGCCCTTTGGCTCCGCCACAGTCAGGAGGGCAGACAGCCTTCCACACAAGGCCCGGTGTTGTGAGAAGTGCTTTCCCAAAGGGTCACTCCCAAACGAGGAGTCTTCCGACTCAGAGTCCTGAACGCTAAGCATGCAAAAGGTGAAAATTGGGTTCAGCTCGCAGGTAATTCTCCGGGTGCGACAAGACGCATTCGACATTGCGGGCGACACGACGCCTAGCCGAACCGCACGCTCTGAGGCGGACTCATCACTGGCATCCTGGAGTTAAAAATGGTGGGAGGGTGGGAGTGCCTGCTTGCACCGTCACTTGTTGTAGTTAACACTTTGTGTGATCGTAACAAGTTTAGGTGCGCAAGGGCGGTAGGGTGGGAAATGCAGCAGTCAACACCTCCAGTTATGGCTGCAACGGATCGGAAACCGATCTGAGTGTGATTTTTTGTTCCCGCCCAGCCCTCCCTGAGTTGAAAATTGGGTTCAGCTCGCAGGTAATTCTCCGGGTGCGACAAGACGCATTCGACATTGCGGGCGACACGACGCCTAGCCGAACCGCACGCTCTGAGGCGGACTCATCACTGGCATCCTGGAGTTAAAAATGGTGGGAGGGTGGGAGTGCCTGCTTGCACCGTCACTTGTTTGCAGGTCTGCTGCGCGGCCAGAGTGTCAAGACCCTGAAGTCCTTACAATGTGGGTTTGGGAGGACCAGAATTCGGGACAAAACAACACCTTCGAGGTCCCAGAGCCGTCAAGTGCTACACTGTCCCTGAATTGTGGCCTTAAAAACCAAAGGAGGCTCAACGTCTCCCGAGTTTTGGGTTCCAGAGCTCGGAACTTGGAGCAAAGCCCTCAGCTTCGATTCAATTTCTGCGAAGGTTTCGGAATGTTTCGGACCCTGACGATTGCAGCTCCGAGTGCAGACGTTACGCTTTGGAGCTGTTGTCTCCTGAGCTTTTTCGGAGCTTCATTGCGAGCAGCATCGGTAGCACAGCCTGCCCCGTGAGGCTATGGTAAGGCTCCCGTGAACAGCGAGGAAGAAATTGTTGTTGCACGCACAGAGGAGCAATGAAGATCCAGATCGTTGTGCCTACCTCCATTCAAAGCAACAGCTGAGGAGATGCACAGGCCGGGCCTGACCGACCCGGGACGGTGAAGCTGCCAGCTGGAACGAAAACATCGGCAAAGTACGGTTGCATTGGGAGCGCACTCCCAGCACTCCCACGAAGAAGCGCAACCTGCCTGGAGTAGAGCTGGCTATCAGGTTCATTGGAGGAGCCTGGGACGTGAACTGCGACCTCAACCACAATCGTCTTCAGCAGGGAGACGCCTCGAGGAGTTCCGTGCGCATGTTCGCGAGCAGCCTGGTTCTCGGATGCCTCAGTGGGCGACTGAGCCTCGTGAGAGCTAGCGTTGGCCAAGGGCGCTGGCTCGAGTCGCAGCGACTTCTGCGACTTCACCTCCGAGAACGACACCAGCTACTCCCAAGGCGACCTCACCGAAACCCTCGACACATGGAGCGACTTTGCCGACAGACCGCAGACGCAGCGATACCACGGCTTAACCTGATGAGGTCCATCCGGCGACATGATTGATGAGCAGTTGTCGGTGCCTGATGAATGCAGCCCGGGGACGAGAGGGTTGGACGAGATCTGGGATTCCCTACACCAGCGCGCTTCCAGCTTCGCGCTTTCAGCTTGATGAGATCGACGCGCTCCTGTGGGCTGCTTCTTCGACGTGCACACCTTCTGTCGCATGCCAGGCTCTCCGTGCTCGCCGCCACGAACAAGAAGCTATCGAGAAGTTTGCAGGCGCTCCGGGACCAGGAGTAAGACCTCAGGCTGGCCGAGGAGCGACGCGGTCCGAAGCGAACGTATTGGGTGGAGCAAGTGGGCTCGTGGAGCCAAGGCAGTGTTCATTGGGTCGATGACGGGAAGCAGAAGTTCTCCCTGCTTTTGCGGCCAAGGATGAGCCTGAGTTCTGATGCGATACCTTAGCTGGATACGAGCGAGGCCAGGTGGTGGACCCTCCGGCCGACAAGCAGGTCGGAACTGTGCCATTCAAGGAATCGCCTCAGGGTGGTGGTGAAGAACACGGCCCGCGGCTTCCACCCATCACAGACCAAACGCAAAGGGAAGTCGAGAGCCAAGGGCTAAGGAAGCTTCTAGGGCAAAGGCAAGAGGAGCAATACGTCTTCCCCGGCCTCGCCTTCAGCTACGGCTCTTGCCTGGCTGCGGCAAGAGCATTGGAGGCAGCGGCCGGGTAGTGCGGTGTACACGGTCTGGTTCATATGTGGCAGCAAGATCCAGCAAGGACCATGATGTTCAGCACTGCCAAAAACGAGGCTCAGGGAAGGGCTCCTCGCCGGCCTATGTCCTCACCCATGATGCTTAGCACCAGCCATGAGTGCAGGCTTCGACATGCCGCGGCAACGTGCAGTTCTTTTCCGTCCGCGCAGCATGTTCTTTCCACTTGTTTGCCATGTGATGCTTCACGGAAGCGTCCGGACACTGCGCGATACAGAGCAGAAGCTGTATCCCGAAAGCGTGCTTCGAGTGCTGAGCGTTGTGCTTTGGAGCTGCTGTCTTTGGAAGCTTTGTAAGAGCCTGATTGCTACCAGCAAGACATGGGTGAGCTCTTTCGAGCTTTTATTGTGTTTCAGGATAAGATGTAGAATGTAGAAGTGTCGACGGTTTGGCGTTGGTTTGTAGGTGTCCCGAAAAACACCGACGAGAGCAACTTCTCGGTCTTCGATGAAGAAGTAATGGGGCTTTCCTGCTATCAAGAGATACAGACGTTGTAGCTGAAAGATGGGCAAGTACAACAAAAGTTGCCACCATTGCAGGTTTACATATGTAATGTAGCTTCATGTCATGGCACATTGATGCGTATCGTGTCTGTGTGTGTGTGTTTACATGCGTTTGCACTTGTAGTGATATATTCGGTGGCAGGCATAGGAGGTCTTTTTGGCTCATTCGCTGTTGTAGGTCTTAGTGATCTGGGACGACATGTCAGGTTATTTTGCTTTCGATCACCTGATCGTGTTGGAGGCGTTGTTCTTGCCAGAAGAGGCTGCCGATCAGAGTTCTGAGGGAGCCTTCATGCATATCCTGGTGACTGGGATGCAAATACAGGCTGAATTTGACATGCGGTGTTTCACATGTAGCGGGCTGTTGTGTAAAGTGCCAAAGACCGAAACAGGGAATCCAGACAAAAACGCTCGCTCTGACTTGATTGAACTTCAACTTCAGGTTCAGCGGTATGTTGATTACGAGTTTCCGCCAAGTGCTGTGTCGCTCCTCGGCGAACCACCAGCACTGAAGCCGCGTCGCAGCGCCAGGCGGGTAGGGTCGCGTTGGCGCATCACTCGCAAAGGGAGGTTTGCATGATTTTGCAATAAACCGCTGTAGTGATATCGAAAGATGGAACATGGTTGAAAACCCCCTGTCACTCACTCTGTCGTAAGGCCACAACTACAGCTGCAGATAGTGACCACTTGCAAAGGACCGTCTTTGCTAGCAAGGCCGGCTCAAAATCTTAAGGCAAAGAGGAGTATCACAGATGAAAGAAGTAAGTCAGCGCGGTTGACACTTCGACAGCTGGCTTCGCATCTTGCATTTTGCCCGTTTGTCTTTAAATATGAGGACATTGAGGAGACGTGGGATAAGGAACTTCGTTGCACGGTTTACCAGCTTCGGAGCTCACTGTGCCAGGGCCGCCTGGCGACCCGGCGCAGCACTGGCAGGATTGCAGCGTTCTCTCCAGGTGTTCGACCGCGAGACAGAGTCTTGGGCGCAGTTGCCTTTCATGGTCAGTTCTGCTCGTTGAGGGAACGGTTACTTCAGAGCAAGCACATACTCCCAAGAGCCAATCTAGGAGCCCGGTGCCACGCGTGACTGGGCTACTCGGCTCTTGCTTAGACACCACGTGCCGCCACTTCATAGAATTCACATGGAGGTCACATAGACACAACCCCATAAGTTGTGGGAAGGTTGGCTTGGCCAGCACAGCACCGACAGACGTCAGCTTCAGTCGATCCGTCCTTGCTGCCGTCCGCGAGTATCCAGCACATGTGGAAGGGCTTCTGAGGCTTGGACAGGGAGGCGGAGAGAGTCAGCATGCAGTGTGCAGTTCTCGTGTGAGGAGCGGGCCACTCCTCACGGACGGCAAGTACTGCGTCTGCTTGTTCGATGTCTGGGAAAAAGAATGGAGAGAGCTGTGTGCTGCGCGGCTTTCTGGTCTGAAGTCTTGTTGAGAGTTGTTGACCTCCAAAAAGATTGGAGTCTTCGTTGAGTGAGACTGTGCTGCAAGGTAGACGACTTCGTGCCCACAATGAGGGAACCGCAAGCATCTGCGCCGACGCACTGGGCTGGCGGTTCTCTGCGCCCTTTCTGGGTGCTTTGGGGTGCAGTTGGTTGCAAGGCTACTTGGTTTCGCTTTGCAGTGATGTCCAGCGGACCAGGTGATGCTGCTGGAAAAAGCGCAGCTTGGCAGCGTTTCGATCGCCAGTGTCCGGAATTCTAAACGGCTCGAGCATGCTCGTGTGGGCCGGCTAAGCACCCGAGGCTGGCCAAGCTTTGTGGAAGCTACGAGGCATTGGAGTGCTCACACCCCGGTGGGCTCTTGGCTGCGCTCACAGGCCGTGCTTTCTCGTGTGGACAAAGTATAGAACCAGTTGTGAATGATTATTGAAGTTCGACATGGTCAATGGTGCCAAGATGTTTGAAGTGATTGTCTGCTGATCCTTCACGGCGTGTGCAGGTCAGACCGAAGGACTGCTCCACTGGGAAAAAACGAACGGCTGGTGGGCTGCATGGCGTGAGAGGCTCAAAGTCCAATGGATGTAGCAACATCGAACAACTCGATTGGCCTGAAAGCTTACCTGCCATTGTCCCTGATAAGATCACAGTCTCGCTTAGGATGCTCCGGCCTTTGTAGATGACTGGGGTCACCAGCGACCGCTGCTGCGTTTTACATAAGGTCATGCATTTCCCATTGTGGACCGGAGTGTGCGAATGCCTTCTCCTTCTCCGTGCCTGCACCGAGCCTTGGCACCTGCTTGGTGTTCGAACCATTCCTTAAGCACCGGCACAAGGCTTTCTGGCAAATCGAGCTGGCTGCTTGCCTCGCGTGTGTCATCCTTCGGTTTAGGCCGAGCATCTGCGCGGCGCCCGCTCAAGTTCCAGCTCCAACGTGTAGGCCTGCTGGCCTATCCTCGCTTCGAGTCGGATGGCCAGTCACATCTAACGCTGTAGCACTTGCTCTCCTTGATTTGTTTCCGGAGGGGGCACGTGGCATCGTGGCGACGAATTCTTGGCAGAGTTGAGGCGAGGAAGGTCTAGGGGCGATCGGCTTCAGGATCGTGAGTGTCATCAACATCACCGACAATACTTCTTGAAATCTTGGTGTGATCTCAGAATCTGCGCCTACCCACTTGTACCAGGAGGAAAAGATCCCAAAAAACGATGCTTGCACACGTCCATGCAGAAGATTTTTGGAAGGCTCTGGTATGACAGCTGAGAAGTATTGATTTGCATCAGTCCTTTCCAATGGGTAGCGAAGTGTAAAAAAAGAACGATGGTCCAGCTGACTGTGCCGTTTCAGTGGTTTACTGCTTGATGCCAGGGAGTGGAGCTCGGACTGCTTTGAGGAAGCATAACTCCCATGTACACAAAGGTGACGGGTTGAAAGCCCTGTAGGGAGCTGCACGACAAGAACGCGCTGCTCCTTGCTTGGATATTTCCAGGCGCCTTGGGCGACGTGCGAGTATTTCAACTGGCAGGAGTAGGGCAGGCTTGCTTGTGTTTGAGTGCTATCCGACACGAGAACAGCAAGTTGAAGATCCCGGGCTTCCGCAGTGCACAACACAGGCGAGCGAGCAGATGCGACGCCTCCCCGCGCCGACGGATTGGCAGAGGTGTGCTTTGGCGTCTATGGTGGTTTGCTTTTGTAGCAATTCCAGGGCCATGGCTATTCCATCGTGAACTTCCTCGTGGAGAAGGATGTGCTGCTTGTTCAGCTGAGAAACCTTTGGGGCTCTGCCTGGAAAGGCGGGGCCCGGTCCGAGAGGTCAGACAGCTTTCGTCTCCACAAAAGCCGTTCCGTGAGCTCTCGAAATATTTGCAACTACGACCTACGATGCGCAGTGCTGGAACCCAGCTCAACTTGCTTAGCTCGATAGCCGTATTTGGTGTTGTGGCATGTTGCCAACTTGTCTTCCATTCACGAGCATGGTTTGAGTGTGCCACTGGGGTTTTCTTCGATCATGCGAGCATATCATCGGAATGGTCGACGCTGAGATACCCCACATGTCGACTTGTACAGCTCACGCAAATTTGCCACAGTTCTTCACAGAATCGTGTTTGTATTTCAGTTATCTCCAACTTGAGTGTTGTCCTGGGCTGATGGACTCAATGCTTTGGCCTTCACACAACGCACGTTGCAGGCGCATGGTCGGATGATTCCCGGGAACTGCCCTCGGTCGACTTTGCAGTCTCTCGGGTCTCGGGAGAGCATTGTGGCAGCACAGGAGTGGCTCGACAATCCGCAGATCCGCCGCCACCATTTTCGACCAGACCATCGGGCTACAGGCAGCACATGGCAACACCCCCCGCATACCCACAGCATACCTAGGTTGATTTAGTGGCCCGTGGCAGGGTGTGGATTCTCGAACTCATGTTTCAGAGGGGAATGTTACCAGTAGCGAGTTTCACAAGGCTGCGAGTCCAAGTCCTGCCTTCGCCTATGCCGACTGCAAAGCTCTTGCGTGCCAAAGCCCCCCATCCTGCAGCATGTAAACGTTCCTATGCGCCTGAGATGCTGCAGAGCACGTGCAACGTTGTCAGCGACTTTGTATTTCAATTATCGGACCCATGCTTCTGCCTCCTGAGGCGATACGGGAATTACAGATGCAGTGGTGGGTGGAACTGCGGCGACCGTCGTGAGCTTTTCTGCTCAGAACTGCGGTTCCAACTAATAGCATCCACAAGTTGCAGATCCCTTCTGTTCCGCGGGTGATTAACCAGGGTGGTTCCTCTGTCACCACTGAGTAAGATTCAGAAACGGCAACATGCGGATCTTCGTGCGTGGTGGCATGAACCAAGTCCATTGCTTCAAGCGGGCAGCATCCGCTGCAGGCCGACGTCAGCATGCATCAGACCACCCCCAGCCTACGATGCATAAATGAACTCTCGCCCCGGACCTTAAAGCCTCTGGCATGGCGAGCTTCCGCAGCTGGATTGGGGCGGCAGTCTGCTTCATTGCTTGGCTTCTGGCACACAGGCAGTCTGCAAGGGTTGTGATGCTAGCAAAGCTTGCAAGCTTCCCCATGCGGCCCATGCAGATTCAGCCTGGGCTGGGCTGCACCCAGCTTTCTGGCGCTGGTTCTGGCGGCCCTGTACCTGTGGAGTCTTGGCTCTGACACGAATTTTTCTGCACTACGTTTGTACGACGTATGAACGTTCCAGAACTGTCGGCTCTTGCTGCACATGCTCGACGAGACTTGTTGAAACCAACTCACCTGAAGCCTAGAGCTGTTTTCGACCAAGGTTTGCAGTGCTGCGGGTGCCGCAGTTCGGGAAAGAATTAGACGAGGCGCAGTGCTCCGGAATTTGGTTTTGCACTGCGCTCTCATTTTGAAACCACGTGTCGAAGCCCAAAGGTGAGAGCGGAGTTAATGTCAGAGCTCTTGGCGGATCCGCCTGCTGCCCCAGCCTCGAAGGCTTGCTGTTTGTAAAGTGCAAGGGCAGGGTGCAGAGGGTGATGTCATCTGGCAAGCGGCAGAGGCTCCGCCCTGCTTCGAAGAGTCTTCAGAAGCGGCTTTGCACGCCTCACCTGCGGAGCCTGAAGCGCCTGTGCCAACATCTGTTGCTTGCGGCGACAAAGCGGCGGTCCCGGTTGATGGAGCAGAGGCAGAGGCATGCAGGGAGTGTGCTTCAAGACATTGTGGCCGCTGGGACGTGTTGCTGGCGTGCATTGATTAAATGAAGGTCAGAATCCCGAGGTCAGGCCTGCTCTGCTTGATGCAAATTGCCGATTTCTCCTGTTTCCTCTGTGACCTTTCTCTGATTCGATCTTTCCGTGCCCTCTCTCTTCTCTCACTCTCTCCATTCCTCTGTTGATGCATCAGACAAAGACACAGTGGAACGGAGCAGCCCCGGGATTCTGCCCGTTGGCGTTCAGCCGCAGGCTGGAGCAGCTCAAAATGGGCTGCCACAGCCGCACACTCCTGAAGCGAAGGCGGGTCTGTTCGGTTCTTACGACAGCTGATGCCAGTGCTTGCTCTTCTTGTGTCTCTGGGACGTAGTCGTGAAGTTTCTGCTTCAGTGTTTGGCGGTCTCGCGCGATACATCTTCGGGGCTGGTGCAGGCCCATGATACTTCCGCTGGGGCTGATCCACCTGACGGCGCCCAGTCCGAAGATGGTTTGGCACGCGAAGGGCTGCAGGTGGAGGAGGACGCGGAAGACCCAGTCAAGGCTCAAGAACTCAGACTGGAGGGCAATGAGCACTTCAAGGCTCGCCATCCAAGTTTCATCCGGCATGAAGCGGTGTCCTGGGCCTACCGCAATGTGAATCAAGCTCTATGGTTGCACGAGGCTGGACGGATCTACGAAGCACGCGAAGCTTATTCAGAGGCTTTGCACTTGAGTCCGCAAGCCGGCGAGGAGGGCGACGAGCCGAGCAAGGAAAGAGAGGGTCCGGAACGAATTCCAATCCACCCTTCAGTGCACGCTTTCAAGCGTTTCTCTTCGTTCACAGGGGCGTGCGGTGCTGCACTGCAACCGAGCTGCCTGCTTGCAACGCCTCGGCCGCTGGGATGATGCCGTGAAAGCCCCCAAGCTGCAGCTACCCACCCCTGAATAAGTTGGAAGGTTGGTTCGGAAGATGCACACGAGATGTGGACACAAAGCCAAGACTGCCCAGAGGTAGCTGCCCGGAAGACGTAGGTTGCACTCTGTCTCTGGTGAAACTTCCTTAAAGAGCTTTTGGATGGATGAGGATGTTATGTTTTTTGTCTCAGGACTGCTCTGAAGCCGTCAAGCTGGACCCGACGCTCACAGACCGCAGATAGTTTTCTATTAGCGTCCTGCAGCCGGCACCTGAGCCACAACTGCTGATTGGAAATCTGCGCTGCTTCGCAGGTATGTCAAGGCCTATGCCAGGCGCAGCACAGCATACGAGGAGCTGAAAAGCCACTTGGCCCACTTGGCTCCTCTGACTAGAGAGCTCCACGAACTTCTGTGCAGGCCCTGTCGTGCACTTTGCTTTCTCCCATTTCTCCCTTTGCTCATGCTTGAAAATTCGCCGTGCTGGCCCAGAATGGCACGATTCCCTTGAAGATCTCAAGAAGGCTCTTGGGGCAGGGCTCACAGGGGTTTTCGACTTTCAGGGACCGGGTTAGGTTGCTGGCCAGTCGCGGGCAGGAGCACCGGATGTTGTGAGGTTGCCGGGTTAGCAGCATTCGCAACTGCCATCGGCTGGTAGTTTCAGGCCATCGAGCTTGATCCAGGTCTTCGCTCGAAGGACTGACAAGCTGCTCTGCGGTTTTCCACCTGTCTGAGGCATGTTTGTCCACGTTGCATGCATCTGATCTGTTTCTTGCTGCTGGATGGTGGAGCAGAACAGCTTGCAATTGGAGGGCGGGATGAAGCTGACAAGGAGAGTCGCCGCATCGCCATGCTTGAACAGCGAGCTCAGGAGCAGTTCCTTGGCCGTTCGACGATATGAACCGGTTTTGGAACTACTTTAGGAGACGGGGAGCAGGGCTCTGTTTCAAGACGCAGGCAAGACTAGTTTTTGGGTGCAAGGGCAAGGGCATGTCGTTTGAATCTTTGCGCGAGGTTTGAGAAGGACAAGGATGAAATGCTATCCAAGCTGAAGGAGCTTGGAAATACCGTCCTTGGGCAGCTTGTCATACAGGAATTGCTGCGATTGTTGGGCCTGGTCCAGTGTTTGGCTGACACTGATGCAGCGTGCTGGCTATCATTCAGTCATGAGCACTCAGGAAATTTGGGATGTCCACGGACAACTTCAAGATGGAGCAAGACCCAGATACGGGTAGTTGCTTCGCCGCATGACAATGAGAAATTCGACGGCTGCAAGGAGTGCCAATGCGTCATGTGAGGTAAGATCCAATCATGCGAGGACTGCCTACCCATGGCACCCGTTCCATGATAGTAAAGCCACTTCACTGGAAAGCAAGGGCCCTGTGGCCATGCTCATGGGTTGGGTCGCAGTAGACAGCTAGAAGTATACTTCGGCTGGAGCAGAACTTGTCTTCTTTCTCGGCAGGTCGAGCAATAGCAGACGCCGTAGCAGAAGTCTTTGAACAGTAAAGTGTCGCTGGCCAGTCAGCAAGTTGCCAGGCTATTCCATCAAGTTTCAGAGCTGAGGGTGCCGTAGATTGCTGCAGGAAGCACTGCAGGACTGCTGCGGCTTGGCGGCGGCGCAAAAAGACTTGCGAGCGGCGGTTTTGCGCGGTCCCTAGATGCTAAGGCTAAGGGTAGTTCTTTACAGTTTACGGGATGGGACACTGGGAATTGCCAAACTGTCCTAAGCTGCTTGGCTCCGTCGTCTCTGACAGGCCGTTTCTGGATGTCATGGGCAGACTTTTCCATGATCTTCGATGCAGTCGAGACCTGTCCCATGGTGTCCGCAGTTCGGAAGGCGCACGGGGCAGGTCACGCCATGCCAGGGACGTCAGGACTGCTCTTGGCTGGCTGAGGCATCATACGCACCCTTGAATCCGCGTCCACGCAGCAAGCAAGATCATCCATCCGGAGCCTTCTTAAGACTTTGGAGGCGCCGGAAATCAAGGCAGAAACCGCCATGCAAGCCACTGCCGGCTGCAGGTGGGAATGCTGTGAGGTCGAGCGCGGCTCTTGAGCGGCAAGGGCTGGACCATGTGTCACCTTTGATGCCTGCGTGTTATGTGTCACTGCATCCAGCTGCAAAGTTCAGATGATGTGGTGAGGCAAAGTGCCTTTTCAAGCAGGCTGCAGTTGTGGGCCAAAGGCTGCCCGGTGGGGGTGAGAATCTGCCAAAGGCGCAGCTCTCTTTCCCTCAGCTCCGTCTCTGATGCTGGGACACTTTGCTTGCATTCGCCAGCTCTGCACAACGAGAAGCCTGTTCGTACCTGGTTGTACGCTTGCAGGACCACCGCCCGCCTCCGTTGACTGAGCTTCTGTCGGACCCTTGGATCATTTTACGCGAGCTGCCCGTCTGCGCGTTGAAACACCGTTTCCCCGGGGGGGGGGGGTGTCACATGTGTGACTACTTTCATGTGGAGGAGGCCTAGGTCTTTTAGACACAGAAACGACAAACAACTATCAAGCCTACTACTGTGACTCCGCCTGTCACTGGCGTGCCAAGTGGGTGACAAAACCTACTGTAACCATTACAATTTCGAAGTGTTCCGCAATGTGCGGGTGTCCGACAGGAGATTTCGTTTGTCTTGGACTTTGAATTGAGGATAATTGAGGGACCGGGTCGTCTCAATGCAGATGGCACTCCGCAGGTTTCCTAACCGCCTTTGCCAAGTGTTGTCGATCGGGGCCAAACGCGGCACCTCTCACTGTTTCGCAAATTGGCGCTCTCTGTTACATGGTTTCACGCCTGTCCCGGCCTATCCCTGCCAGTGCTCGCCGCGCGATGCCGAGTGTCTCGCAGCTGTTCAGCATTGCCACAGCCGCGATGATACACATCACATAGCACGCCGAATGCCAGGAAAAGTGCCGCACATCTTGCCTGCATATACTGTAGCAAGGTGGCTAATAGGCTATCTCTGGGTTCCGGAGAGGTGGACTAGAGAAGCGGCACGATCTGCAGAGTGCTGCAGTTTGCTGGGCAGAACTTGTCGCTGTGTGTCCTCTGCCTGCCCAGCTTCTCCCGCTTGTCCCCAAACCGAGTCGGAGGGATGAGACAGGATGAGACAGGTATGTTGTGCCCTGAGCAGCAACTTTCCAGCAGTTCTCCTGTTCTTAAGGCGATTCCTGGAGGTGACGCAGGCCCACGCAACATTGCTAGGACGACGTGCATCTGTAGAAACTGCAGGGGCAGGAGTCAGGAGCGGATTATAATGCTCGAAGCTTCGCGCCGTGCAGTAAAGAAAGCTGCGAAGCTACTTGCTGGCTGAATGGCAGGGGTGGACGAAGAGATGCAGGCAGGTTGTCACATGTCACAGAGGGGCGTGCTCTGCGAGTTGCCTGTGCGCTTGGTATCGTTTGCGAAACCCGAAACTTGTGTGCAGAAGCACTTTCCAGAATCTGCATGTGAGCCAGGCAAAATGTCACTGCAGTGCATTGCAGAGGTGGAAAGGCCGGTGGTTGCAGGGTGATCACTCGAATGGTGCAGTTGAGCCAAACTGTTGCGTGCTTCGACTCAGGGTCGCACAGGATCCTTCTGCTGCTCGTGGCTGTTGTATACGAAGGCGAAGCCGCATGTGCAGCCGAGCGCCGGTGTTGTGCAGCTGCGGTGAGTCCGTCGAACTAGATAGAAAGACGCGGCATCACGTGAGCTCAACACTAAGGCTGAGGTACTGAAGACATTTGCCGGCTGATCTCCAGCAGATGTAGCGACGGTCTTCACGATGGCTTGGCTGAAGCATGCTCCAACTCAACAGCTGGCACAGGAGGCAGAGGATGCGGAGGACGCTCTGAACTTTTTTGCTCTACGGAGGCAGGTTGCTGCTGCGTGGTCTGCTGTGCATATCTGCCGTTCCTTTGCCCAACGCCGTCACTTATTAGCTGAGCAGAACCTGCAGTCCATGGCATTGCAGATGAGGTTTGTTGGGGCTCAAGCGAAAGACCATTACAGATGTTTGCTGGCCCTTCATGCTGCAGGACCGATCTCGAGAAGAAGCGCTTGTCAAAGGCCATGCCGAGATTACCCGAAGCAGGGATGCGATGGAAAGTCAGTGCATCATTGCGTTGTTGGCTCACGGTCGGTGGAGCCTTTGAGAGCCAGCGTCGCCTGAACATCTTGTCGGCAGGCGAGGGATGGGGAGGAATGGTCGGCGTGACAAAAGCTCAGAAACCAAGAGGAAGAGTTGTTGGGATGGCCATGACCCAACCTTTTGTCAGCCTGGTGATGGGCGAAGTGCACATTGCTTCGGCACCTGCGTTGTGCCTTCACGCAAACGTACACGCACATGCACCCCTGCGCTCCCTCTTAATCCAATCCCTGCATGATGCTGCTCTGCATTTCGGTGATTGATTTTCCTGAGGAGTAAGCGGGCAAGCCACAGTTGAGCGAATGTCGGGATATCTTCGCCAGTTTTCGCAATGGGTGCTGACCACAGGTTTTGCAGCCACCTGACGTGTGGCAGGTACAGGGAGTCGAGACGCCCTCCCAAGTCCGCTATGTTGGATATGCGTGAGCCTTACCTGCCAGCCCGAAGGCAGGAGATGACAGCTGCCCTATGTTAGGACATCCGGTTTTGGGGCTTGCGTTGCGTGGTTATGCTTGAACGCGCTTTCCGAGAATTGAACTCTGGCCCCATAGGCGCACAGTTGCTCTTTCCCGTTTTCACAAAGGTGGACCGTCTGCTACGGGAGCAGATGGCGCCGGGAGCTCTGGGCTTCTTTTTTCCCTAGATCCACTTAGTCTGCTATTTCCTAGCATTCAGGTACTTGCCTTCACTGGTCAGCATGCCACGCTTGGAGGAGGCAAAAGTCCGGGAGCAGTCCGTTGGCCTTGCGTCTCGCGTTGGCTTCCTGTCAAGTTTGGGCAGGTGCTGCTAGCCAGCGTGCAGGCCACCAAGTTTTTCACCGAGCAGTTCGAAATGCTGCATCGAGGCCTAGGAGCTTTTCTAGTGCCGTCCAGAGCCGTACATCTCATGGCCTGGCCACTGTAGAGCGGCGCTACCGAAGAGAGACGAGACAACCAGAGCAGAGCCTCAACATGTTACAGCTGTCGCGAACAATCGGCCGCTGTCTTGAAATGCAGTTGTTGGATCGGCCCGCCAATGAGCATGCCGGTGTGCAGAGATGCACGATTGCAAATGGAGAGAACAGTGGGTGGCCGCCGAGTTCAATGAGACCGCACATTTTACGCAGGCCATCACCTCGTGGCTGTGCTCCAGGACATCCTAGCTAGCGGATGTGTGAGTGGCAGTCTTGCCAGGTCTCGAACCGTCACCTTCGTTGTGTTGTTCACGTGAACCAAGCAGTAGCCTGAGTGCGGCCATGCCGCTTATGTTGTGCAGGACGCAAGCACTGCGAGATCAATCGCATCAGCCCTCGGCCAGAACGATGGAGATGCCAAGGTGCGGGCGACAGTTGGTCAGTGTTCGATGCGAGAATATGCGAGAGCAACTCTACAACCTAGACATTGCGTAGTTGCATTCTGCTGGACCACTTGTTGTGAATCCTTTCCTTGCTGTCCGGATTGCAGAGGGTGAGGGTCGAAAGTCCACGTTGTTCACCACCACCGCTTCCTGGTTTGGACAGATCTGGCATTTCGGCGAAGCAAGACTAAGCGGGAGCCTCTGAACGAAGTCCTCCGGTTTCAGAGAAGCAAGCAAGCAGCCGGCAAGTGCTATATATCGTTTTGTGAAGAGCTGAGATAGCAAGTCCCTTGTGATCTTGTGGCAGCCACCGAGGCGGTGATGTTGGTTTAATCGTGCTGCCTGGCAGCAAGCACAGTTTCCTTGTGCAGCATGCAGTGGCTGCAGTGACAGCTTTGCCAACCATCTTGCTTGCCCGAAGTCACAATACCTAAGGCGACTTTGCCCCGGCCGCATCCCAACTCATATCCGGCTTTTGCGAGGTACACGTGCCACCCCGACGGCCTTCCCGTGGACAAGGAGCAGGCGAATGCTTCCGGTCTGTGAGCGGTGTCACAGAGACAGACGGGCAAACTGATGAGCTAACCCACTCCAAATGCCAGGCATCTGCCCTCATATCAGAGGGAGCATGGCAAGGCTCGGGCTTGCCGTTAGTTTGAGTGTTTCCACTTCAAAATGTCCAGACTATTTTCTGCGTGCTTGCTTGTCCGAGTTGACAGCGAATGCCACATACAGACAAGAGGTCTCTGTATCTCGCATCGCGGTTTTACACATCGATCGGTGTCCACACTAGGCTTTGCTATTTAGGCAGCATCTACAACCAACACATATACCACCAACATGTATCTACATGTTGTTATGAAGCATGTTGAATTCTACACCCTTTCCAGGAGTAGCCGCTCCTGGTGTTCCTGCCGCAGCAGGAGCAACAGTGGCAGTAGCAGTCGCAGGAGGAGTAGG